TAAAGTGATTTTTTGATTTCCCATATCCCTTACTAACTGACTCACAATATCAACATTTTGAGAAAAACTTACCAGTCTAGAACCACCAAGAACACATATGGTTTTGATCGGCTGAAGAAATTTATTACCTTGCGAAGGCTCTGAAACATCCATCTATTTATTGATAAACTTAATTTTTCAAAAGTTTGTGAGACATATGATTATGATGAATGACTCTCTATTTAAATAGAAAGTTCTACAAAGCGATAAATAATTTTACTGTTTTCTTCTGACAATTGCAACTGACAGATAAGGTGTTGGGTTTTAAATAAATTTTATCTGTCGGCAGCTATAAGATTCTCTGAAAATTACAGTGCAACTACTAAACTTCATTAGTATGATTTTCATACTAACAAAGACTAGTTTTACAAACTTGATCTTTTGAAACAATATTTTTGAGACTATAACGTTCCTCTTCATTTTTGAAACGAATCCATAGAGACAGAAGCTCACGATGCACATACCCACTAGGATGTGTCTCAAGAATCTGGTGGATCGTTTGATCCATAGACTCTTTACTCAATCCATCCTTTATAAATGTTATTTTATCTTCTCGATTTTTGGACACGAACCCCACAGATTTACATCGTGTGTCACAAGTCCATCGAGCGCATTTGAAGCACCCACCTAATCGTTTTGCTCTCCGTTTCTTTGCAAAAGTACTCTTACCCATACCTGGCATATATTTGTATGAATTTGGAAACTCTCCCGACAATCGAACTTTTGCTTCAATCAACCATCGAATATCGCCTGGAATATCATTAATCATTAGCACCCTCAATCTTTCTATTCGAGACTGATAAATTCTTTTTATGATATTTACTGGAAAAAATGGATAATATTTACGGATATTTGAGAGTGCTAAATCCATCTGTAAATTCGGACCTTTGTTCAGAAAATATTGAATGGATTGACTGATAATTTATAGAAATGATGCGTATGCTATACGACTCTAAAAACAAAGAGTATGTCTGACAGAAAGATTGATACGCATGTGATACAGTTCTGAATTTAAATATTGTGGATCAGAATCTGCACTTGAAGTGCATTTATTGCCGCCGAAAGATGATGTGATATGTTTAATAGGTCACAATGATTTATTGTGATATTTACCAATATAAATTATGATGGTTTGCATGATTAACTGATTATGAGATGTTTTGTTCTCGATTGGTTAAATTATTACTAGCTAAATATTTGTGAATCGATATTTGATCAAACTGAGTATGAAAGGGGTACGATATATATATGGGCCCACTACCCCTCCATGTGTGCTACTAGATATTATGGATCCACTAGATAGCCACATGTGTGATTCGTAACCTGAAGTTACGATATGATTTGATCAAAGAATGTGTATATGACACGTAACCTGAAGTTACGAGATGGTTTGATCAAAGAATGACACAAGATGATTATGAAAGAAAGTGTCATATGAAAGTGATGAAGCTAGTAATATAATCAGCTCATATGGTGAACTCATGAAAGAAAAATGTGCACATTACAAGTGATATGAGTTCAAAGTCCTCCGATTATATGTTGAAATCGAGAACGAAATGGAGATTATATGAACTCCCCTCAAGAAACTCAATACTGAAAATGCAGATCAGGGATCTGTTAAGATGAGGGGGAGAATCAATTATTGAAATTTTGAAAATGATTTATGCATCACACTGAAAGTGTGCAAATCATAAACTGAATGATACTGATGGTGGTTAAATATATGAAATGATATGATGGTGGAAAGATACGCTGGAAGCGTTGGTATTGTGCAAATTGAAATTTCCCAAATAAGTGGTGAAAGGAGGCATATATATACTATCGATGAAATTAATTGATAATGAGATATCTCAATATATTACGGGGAATAATGGAAATGAATATGTGTCGACACAAACAGATGAATAGCGCTATATAAATGATATTGATGAGAATGGCTGAAATGAGAATATTGAGAACTATTGGCAGTAAGACCATTGAAATCGGTTGATGATGAAAATGAGTTTAAGAATGAAAGTTGCACAAAAGCATAATATAACATATTATCATGAATACCACCAGTATCGGAAAAATTGAATGAATCTATATGATACTCATGAAAAAGTTATTATGGTGAATATATGGAATACGCGTTGTACTCTTTTTCCCTTGGCTAAGGTTTTGTCCCATTGGGTTTTCCTAGCAAGGTTTTTAATGAGGCAACATGGATGGCGTATTCACATGAATAGTGTACTCTTTTTCCTTCATTAGGATTTTGTCCCACTGGGTTTTTCCTAATAAGGTTTTAACGAGGCACATTCATGATATAATGAGGACTACTGGATAATTGATATGATTCCTCATTATGATGAGAAAACACTGGAGTAGCTGTACTCTTTTTCCTTCGATCAAGTTTTTTCCCATTAGGTTTTCTTGACAAGGTTTTAACGAGGCAGCACGTGAATACTCCATTAAAGATGATCTATTTGAGGGGGAGCAATGTTGTGCTTCCACAATGCTCAGGTTTTGTCCCACCGGGTTTTCCTGAGGATAGATGTTGTGATTGCATAATGATCAGGTTTTGTCCCACTGGGTTTTCCTGAGGAAGCGATGTTATAATTTCAGGATGATCAGGTTTTGTCCCACCGGGTTTTCCTGATATACTGAAGCACCAGTACCGATGGCTACAAGATACACTTCAAGATATTCAGATTGGGCGTTGTTCAAATCAGTTAAAATATGTTTAGAAATAGTCATTCAAGGGGGAGTGTTATGAATTATTTGTTATAAAATAATATATGTGAATGACTATTTTGCCCCCGATGTAATTGTATTATTACAGTTGTGCCATCAGAAGTTTCCTATAAATAGGAGCTTCAGTTATAATGAAAATCGTACCTAAGAGAAACATTTTCTCTATTCTCTCTATTTTCTCTAGTTTTATAACACATATAAGATTATTTTCCATTTGTTTAATTATTATGCCATATAAGATTCATATTTCGATACTTATCACCCAACGCACAATAAGATTACATTTCACTGCCTTCAACATTTTTTCCTATTTGCATCTATGTAGTATGTGTTCTATGTAGTATGTGTGTATCACGCGTCTGTATACACAACCGGTTTTGCTATAAAGTCAATAGTTGGCTCTACAGTGGAGCCAACTTTATATATATCACAAGTACACCACACCATATTATTTGATTACTTAAATAAATACTAACATTTTTATTAATATGGTATGATTTACTTGTTGTGTATAGAAGGTTGACTCCACTATGGAGCCAATTGTTAGCTTTATAGCAAAACTGTACACACAAAACAAGCAAAACCAGTGATTAAAATACCGTACCGTATTGTCCATAATAACGGATACCGGCTACACAAAATACCAACAGATTTACGGTTAAACCAGTTTGTACCAGATCATACCGTAATACCAAAAAATACCGGTCAACAAATAAAAAAAATAGTAATTTATAAACATCAAATTATAATTGATAGTTAAAATGTTTTATTTTTATCTCATTGAGAAGTTGAAATTAATAATTATAATATTTTATTTTTTTATTTTTTGCATTTGGTATTATACATTTTTATGTATACATATATGAAAAAAAATCTTTTTCACCTCATAACAAAGACACATTAAATTTTTCACACCGCCCAATAAAAAGCTAAGTTTTTCACCCCAAAAAGTGCGAAGGTTATGCGAAAACTGTCGCATATTCATCGCATAACTGTCCATATGCGAAGGTTATGCGAAAAACTGTCGCATAACTGTCGCATATCAATTGCATAATTGTCGCATATTCATCGCACAATGCCTTCGCACAATTATACAGTTGATATGCGACAGTTTTTCGCATAACTGTCGCATATCAATTGCATAACTGTCGCATATTTATCGCACAATGCCTTTGCACAATTATGCAATTGATATGCGACAGTTATGCGGCAGTTTTTTGCATATCCTTCGCATATGGACAGTTATGCGATGAATATGCGACAATTTTCGCATAACCTTCGCACTTTCTGGAGTGAAAAACTTAGCTTTTTATTGGGCGGTGTGAAAAACTTATCAAGACTTCAAAATGAGGTGAAAATAGATATTTTCACTACATATATATCATTATATTTGCTAGTCCAGTAATACCACCAATATTATCGGTCTGACCGACCATACCGCATACTAGTGGCTAGACTGGTATAACTACCGGTGCGGTGTTTAAAACACTAAAGCAAAACCTTGTAACTGGAAATCTATCTAATGAAAATAACAGGGTTATAGAATATTTGAAATTCAAGAGCTTATCAATCCCGGCGTTGCGAAACGAAACAACAGATACCACGATTTCTAACGCGCATCAAGGTTATCATAAGCCTTCGTATCTTCATGCATCAAAAGGAGAATGAAGCTGCAAATTTAGAAATATATAAAAAACTAAGAGCATGTTTGTTTATAAAATCTTTTGGGTTTGTTTGGATTTTTTTGTTTGGTTTAGTTAATTTAGAAAAAGGTGGCATGATTAGTTGTTAGTAGATATATTAAAATAATATTTAAAATAAAATAATTAAAATTAAATTGATGTAAAAGTAAGAGAGAGAAGATGTGATGTGATGGTTAGTTAAAATTATGTGAGTAGATGAATATTGAATTAATGTTGATGTGGTGTGTATGATGGATTGATTGATATTATTTAATTATATTGACAATAGTGGTGTAGAGTTAAAGTTGAATTAAAAAAAGTAGTTGAGTTAAAATGTTGGAAATTTTTTGAAAAATCTTAAAAACAAACATGCTCTAAAGTGTTGGAAGTCGTAACAAAGAAAAAGCGAAAATCGCGCCTCTAAAACTAGATGATGTAGTTTAAGCTATGGAGACCTCACTAAATGCCTGATACACTTCCAACATCGATGAGCAGTCAGTAGAAAATAACAAAGTAGAAACTGAAAATGACAACAAGACTCAGATCCTATTCCGTCTTCTTGGAGTCCTTGAGCAGGCCTCTCTTCCTAATGCCAAGGCAGAACTTGAGACGCCAGGCATCGATAACCGAGTCGGGCAAAGAATTTGCTAGAGCCCACAAAAGCGAGTGGGGCCAATACGGTGTGCACCGTGGCTCGTAACCTATCCAACGTAACGCGGCTCGCGCATACCCATCAGCGGATGGAACAAAGAAGGATGACCTTCTTATTGATGCCATTTTGGTTGCAACATACAAAGGCACCTATAGATGACCAACATTCACAACTTAAATTATAGTGTTAAATACAATTTTTTTCCTTCGAGACGTATAATGCCACCTTGCAGTTATGCCAAGTAAAAATGCATTGTACACTGAAACTAATCTCAAATATATCACAATTTGTGCACCATTGCTTGTACGAATGGACTAATAACAGGAAATACCATGTAAAACTTATATTACCCAAAATGAGCAGTAGCTGTAGATGAAAAGAAGATAAACGATTAATGGATAATCATCAAGATCCAAGTGGAATTTGTTCTGTATCAAGGAAAGGAGAAACTCTGCGGCTTGTAATATGAACTCATCCAAAAGAGAAGATTTTTACCTGGCATTGCACGTCAATCCCACTCTTCTTGTACTCCACATAGAGGCATCTCGAAAACTGGTCAATATAACTGAAAGGAACACGCACACAACAATATTTAGTACCTTTTTCGACTAAAGTTAATCACAAACATGAAGAAAATCTCTGAAAAATGAGTATTCGAGCAGAGAGAAAGAGAGAGAGAGAGAGTGAGGGAGAGAGAGAGGAGAGGAGAAAAAAAAAATCAGCTTTGGTCAATATTTCTTCAATCCGATGAAGACTCCATCAAAATTACTGGTAATATAAGAATTGCCAATCACAAGTGGAACTTCTATCAATCAGATGCTACAATTCTTCGCAACGTCCATTAAAGTTCAAGAACCTCTAACTTCTATTAATCCAACCGGTAAACATAAATTTCCAACAGAAGTACCAATAACAACTACTACACCATTCCTTAAGCAATTTTTAGCAACATTAGATCATGCATCAAGCAAATAAAGAAAGTAGTTCAAGAAACAAACAAAGAGTGCACAGTTTCACTACATTCTCATAAACATTGAACCGGCACTTCGATTTGATTATTTTTAAAGCTCCACTCAATAAACTAAAAACAAAAACTTAGTCAAAAAATAAAAGATCAATACAGACGAAATTAATCCAGATACAACTACAAGCTCAAGATAACTGAAGCACTTAACCACAAGTTCAAGATTACATATTCCAAATAATGATAACTGAATCACTTAAACCACAAGTTCAAGATTACATATCCAAATAAACAGAAGCTCGATATAAAGTGTACTATGAAAATGAATTGCACACACACACACACACACACACACAGAGAGAGAGAGAGAGAGAGAGAGAGAGAGAGAGAGAGATACGCTTTTGTTGCAGCGTAAACAGAGTAGAGCGGATCAGCAGGGATAATAATAGCAGCACCAGAGCCAATATTCACAATAGCCCCTCTTTTTCTTTCCACCATCCCAGGCAAAACAGCTTGGGTGACTTTCGTTGTCCCCTCAACATTTACCTTAATCAAATCGCTCAGCAATTTATCATCCAGTTCATGAAAGAACCTCGCATAGGGATAAGACAACCCCACGTTGTTGATCAAAACTCCGACGTCCACGCCCTGAATAGCATCCTTGATCCTCGAAACGCCGTCGTCCAGGTCCCCGGAGAAATCCATAACCACGGACTTGATCTGGACCGACCCGTACTTGGATTTGATGGATCCGGAAACTTCCTCCAGCTTACTAGGGTTTCGCCCGACTAAAATCAAATTGAGCCCCTTTCTCGCTAGCTGGAAAGCGAATGCCTTGCCTATGCCGTCGGTAGGGCCCGTTACCAGAGCCCACGACCCGTATTTCTTGAGGTTTTTACCGGGTCGGAGAAAATTGACGTAGACCCATATGAGAATGGAAAGTGTGAGCTTGAGGAGGGATAGGAGGCCCAGGGATATGGGAATGAGGAGCCATAGCGGTTGGGATTTGAGCTGTTCCAAGATGCAATCCGCCATGGACAAGAGATGGTAGAGAAGTCTGTGTGTAATGTGGTGCTGAAAATGGCGATTGAAATATATAGTGAAGGAATAAGGACTAAATTTAATCTATCAATTATATACTTTTTCAATACATACTTAAAACTTTTTTCGATGGAAATACTGTGGACACGTTACATAATCATTCCGTTGAGATTTGCAAGCTAACTCCATAAAAGCCTATAAAAGAAGGCGCTCATAATGGGATCATGCTATATGTACCCCTTGGTGTACCACTTGGTTTACATCAAGGGGTACATGTACCTATAAATTATTCATTAAGGGTAAATAGGTACATGTACCCTTGAATGTAAACCAAGTGGTACATCAAAGGGTACAAGTAGCATTATTCCTCATAATGATAGTAGGTGGGTAGACGAAAGAAGTTGGGCTGCATTTAAATTGAAGGTGGAGTATCGAGTTTCATGCATTTAAGTTTACTTTTTAAATTAATGCTACCGTATCATATTTACTAACGGTGGTGTATAAATTATTTATTATAACTATTTTTATGTATTTGTATTTTATAAAAATGAGATCTTAAAGAAAATACTAAAACTAATGAAAAAATATTCAAAATATAGTAGATGAGTTGGTTGAGTTTTGGTGAAAAAGTTAGAGCATCTTCAATGATATATCGTCCATTTGGAGATGTATAACATGGAGAAAGAGAAGTACAAAATTTTGTCTCCAATGGTAAATGTCAATTTTAGTATAATTTGACACGTGTAGCATTATAATTGGTTGGGAATGATATATATATTTAATAAATAATAAAAAATGCAACAGAAGATGTCTAGAAGTACTTCTAGACATAGAAAGACTTCTAGACATTTTGAATGCCACATAAGATTAATTATGCCACATGGCAATAAAAAGGAGTAATCCAATGGACCATTGGAGATGCTCTTAGTTGAACTAGCCAAAGGCAAGTTGGTTGAACTAGGTCAAATTCGAGACTAGCTGTTTTTTTTTTTTTTTTG